TATATATTATATTTATTTTATATTATATATTATATTTTCAGATCACTTTAATTAATTAAATTAATAGACAAACCAATTTTTAAAGAATCGTCTCTGATCGGTAATAATTGGTAATAAAAAGAGAAATAAAAAATTTATTTTTGGAAAAAAATTTTTTTACTAGTTGATACTCTCTGATAGTTACAAGTGATTATTAATTATTTTTATGTCAAAAAGATAAAATCATAATTTGAGGAAACTCAGAATAGTAAAGGAGAACTCAGTATAGAACTGAATAAGTTAATTGCTTAGTATTTCATGTAATAAATGACCGCGTTATCGAGGAAATTACAAGTTACGTAGCGATTTACATGCTGCATACTTTAAATAATTTTTATTCTTTTAGAAATATAATAAAATTTTATAAAAATAATATTATTACATTTTTTATGTGCGATTACCGTTATTTTAAAAAATAAAGCAGATATTCGGTGTCCGAAATTTTGACATTTCAATTTCTTAAGAATTTCTTTTAGAGAGATAATTGTAATGCATTTTGTGTTTGAGAGATATGGCAATTTTATAATTTAAAAAATCAAAAATCAAATACATTTTTGTTATCTCTATTTACTATCAATAAAAATTTTTTTATCAATTTAAAACCTTCATCTATTAATTTAATTAACTAAAGTAACTTGAAAAGGAATTAGAAACGCTTTGAAATTAAAATAAAAAACATTTCACATAAATTGATTATTAATTAGTAACTGTATCTGACCGTTTCCCTTCTAATGGCCAAAGACATTTAAGTTCTTCACATTTCGTAAAATTATCTTGGTGATATCACCCTCTTTGTAGTTTATCATCGTTTCTGCATTCATTATCTTCTACAAGGTGGACTCATCCCTAAAATATATAACACGATAGAAAGCAGCGAACGGTGATTCTCACAAAAGATCTAATGGAAATGTTATTTCCATTTGTACGGATTATTTACGGATGGGGAAACTAAATAAAGGTCCACTGAATGTGCTTTCGTTGACGTGTGGTTACCTGGAAAAACAGGAAAATCTAAACACTAGGAAACATCTGTAAATATGCTTGTATAAATTTTCACCGGCATATATGTCAAATGTACTGAGAATTAATTCTCTTAAGAGAATTCATAAAAGAGACTTTCACATGTCAAAAAAATAAACTTATCTGACATAAAAAAGATAAGAAGATATTGCTGTTGACTATTCACTGAATCACTTGTTCTCTCTTTAAGCTGTTACTAATTATACAGAATACCAACGGCACTACATTAGCTATTATCCCTCAAGGCCATAAAGAAAACTGACCTACCGTAAGAAAGAAGCTAAAACGACCATCGCTATTGTCTATCCACTAAAACCTTGTATATCACCTGCTCTCTCGCAATACAACTGTTAAGAATGTACAAGTTTTACAACAACGTCATATATTTATTTTTATTTTTGTTGGATAAAAAGAAATTTCACATCTTTTTGACAAAAATTCGATTTTTGACATCGTAATTTTTACAATATAATTTCTAACATTAAATATTTCTCTCCCTATCATTATAGTTTGACCTTTGCAATTATTTCTCATTTGTATCAATTTATAGAAAAAAAACACTCGCATAATGATTCAAAAGTAATATATTTTACAAGTTTCTTAGAAATTTGGATTATTTATTAAACAATGGTTATTAAAATATTCGTTGTTAAAACTCTTGTTAAAAATATTTTTGTTAACATTTTGTATATGTATTTTAAATTACGTTTTAAAAGCACTGGATCTTTTTACTCGACAAGAATAAAAATATAAAAATAAATGAATCGAGCATTCTTATGTTCAATGGCTAGTAATTTATATTAAATTAGTAGATTATATTAAACGGAGTAATTTCCGTTAATAATATTTGTACACAATAATATATGTGCAATAATTATTAAATAGAATAATGTGTATATTGCGCTTTGACAAATGGCCGGGAATACTAACGGTAATTAAATAGATAATTATATCGTATTTTATGATAAAAATAAAAATGTAAATCATTGACATTACGTAATTGTTAAATACGACCTATATTAAAAAGCTTGTTCTTGATATGTTATATGATACTCTTTTCCCGAATACTTTTCATTTGTTTTCTAGACGACTGAAAAAAATAGATGGAGTTATTTTCGCAAAGAGTTAAATCTGCGTTTCGTGTCGGAATCGTATACTCGAGAAACTATATAATATATAATTGAGAATCGCGAAGCGCACTCCGTTAACGAGCGTAATTGTTCTTGGATACAAGAGGATTTAATTACACGGCACCTTCCTCCGCGCGCCAAGCGCATAGCGTATCTCATATTAATGAGCGACGATCGCGAAGGTGAGTAATTACGCAAAGAGCGGTCGATGTATCAACAATCGCGCTTTTAGCCTGATTCCACATCGTTTGTTTACAAGCAAACGAACTGCGGGAACCCGCAACACTCTCTGGGTTAATTAATCGGTCATACACGTTTATTTCATGTAACTGAACGTTGCTGAATGTTTGAGAGAGATATTAATTTATTACTCACGTTTCAAAGGACCGCGGGAATTCGCATTTAAAAATATAATCATATGATATTCATTGGAATAAGATTTTGTATAATAATGTAATTAAAAATTTAAGTGTGCACGCGCAAAATGTAATAAATTCATAGAATTGTAATAAATTCATAGAATGTAATAAATTCATAGAATTTATTACAAACTTCAAAATGTGACGAAACGAGGTTATAAATATTGCAGAATTATTCTATAAAAAATATGACATTAATTTGAGATTAATATATATTGCTAAGTAATAAATGAAATATATATTTTTCAAAATTTGCGCTTTCCAAAAATTTCTAAGAAATACTGTTTTAATATGCAAATTATAAAATTTTGTATAAAATTTTGTATTTTAATACATTTTTGGAAATATTTTAATTAAATATGTTATCAACTCATATATAATACATATACATATATATATATATATATGAATCCTTTTTCGCAATATTTTTTTCTGACCATTCTGTACTCAAATCATCGACTACCTCAATTTTCAATTTTGCGTAAGATATATGACATTCGGAATATTCGCGAAGTCCAATTGCGAAAATGACAGATTTCTATTAAGCGTTGTCGGCGTGTGTTTACATCCGCATGTGTACACATAAACAAAACTCAACTTACCACGTTTGTATTCGTCCGGGAAGCGCGGATCCGTTGTCCCTCTCTCTCTCTCTCTCTCTCGCGTTCTTGTTGTGTGATATCCGATAAAGCAATATCAATTTATCGCGTCTCCTCACGCATGCACGTGTTTACGCGGTCCTTTCCCTTCTCCTCCTTCCTCTTCTTTTCACACCCGTCACGTTCGCGAAATTTCTCTTCTCCCTGTGCCTAGAGTAATCCGCGTGCTCCTCTTTCTGCTGCGAACGTCGGGCACTTTCTCACGGAATAACCGAGAAAAAAAAAAAGGAAACGAAGAGCGAAGAGAAGCGAACCCGAATGTGTCACACTCGCGCACGCCCTTCCTTTCCCGATCGCACCGATCTTTTCCTGCAGCCGGCCAATTTTTGTCCGTGTCACGTGTCGCGGAGACCTGTTTCGGGCCCACTCGTCGTCTGCTTTCTCCCTTCCTCTCGGTCTCTTCCAAAACGATCGGATAAATGTCACTTTCTCTCCGTCGCACGTTAAACGTAACTACTTTATATATTTGTCCGTTATATTTCGACAATTAATTATTACGATGCGTCTATTCGTTTTTTTTTCAATTCTTATTTGTTTTTAAATGTTTAATTAAATATTACACTACAAATGACATATCTCGCGTTCTTTTCCCTTTACCACTTGGATCGTATCAACATTCTCGATCGATCTTTTAGGAACAATAAAATTGCTCGCTCGCTCGCTCTTCTTTCTTTCTTCCTACTGTCTTTATGTCTCCTCTGTCACTATCCTCGCACCTGTCCGACGCCACCGCCGAGCGCACTTTCACGAACCGCGCCGCTTTCGGTCGCGCGTGCAATTTTACAACGCGCGAAACACCATGCCGGCAATCCAACAAATGTCGCAGAGCGCCCCCCTTTTGATCTTCCCGTCACGAGAGCGATATCGGGCGCGATTGCTCCGCCGAAATTCGCGCCGACCGGAAGAGGCACTTCCGCTCGGCCCGGTTTTGCGCGATCCGATCGATCGATCTCCCGATCGATATCGCCGATACCACCCTTCTTTAGACGCTTACACCGGATCCAGAACGATCCCGCGACGTTTCATCGTTCCTCGATAATCGTTCTCAATTTACGAAGAAAGGAGGAAAATGATTCGAGAAACGAGATTAAAAAAAAAAAAAAAAAAAAAATCTGGATGCAGCAAATTTGCGATCACCGAGAGTTGTCTTTAAAATTCGTCCTCGAAACTCTTCTTGGCGAGGGTGAAATTTTGAAAAAGCCGTGTGCTCGCAGAGCTACCTCCCGTTCGGTGCAGGCGTCGAGTGGCGACTGCCGTTTCGTCCAGCGCTCAGTCCGCCTCTGGCCTGTCCCTTCCCCCTCCCCGCGACCATCGGGAACCGACTACGCACAGTTCACGGATTTATGCTATTACAGCACCGTTTTCCACCCTCGATGGCCGGTGCACGTTGCCCGCAGCCACCCGTTGGTCTCTCCTTTTTTTTTTTTTTTTGAATTCCGTGCTTTTTCAAAGCCCGTAGGAAGGTTCGATGGAACTGCTAACTAATGCGGCGAAACAGCATTTTTTCACGCGAACAAATTTCTTTTCATGCATTATTAAAAAAGTTTAGGTATAGAATAAATTTGTATAGGGAAAAAATGCAGCGTCAATATTTAAAAAAAATGAGCGATTTAAATTTAAATTTATTTATGCCAAAGGAATATTTCTGTAAAATACTATTATTCAATTATCTGCAATGTTTACCAACGTGAGATTTGTTGTTCTAAAAATATCTTTATATTATATTTATAATATCCTTTTGTTATATTTCTATTAATCGTATATATTTTTTGAAATATGGGTTTTGTGCCAGTAGTGTTCTTTCCCAGGCTCCCTCGCATTAATGCCACTTATGGATATACAATTCGTTTAAGTATCTCCCTCGAAGGGTCGACCCTCCACATCCCTATAAACACGAATATCCATGCAAAAAGGATCACGATGATCATGACGTATGCATGGCGCATCACCGGCTCGTGCACGCGTGTCCAACGGCAAGTTCAGAAAACTCTGACACGTGAGTACGCGGGGATGTGACAATGCTGGCTTCCTCTCGGAACCGGAAATCCATAAATGAATCTTGATATAAAAATAATATCTTTTTGTTATTTTTTGAGACCCGGATGTGGGAAAGCGTGTAAAGCGTAACGAGAGGACGCGCGTTTTCACCCTCGAATTGCACGAGTGTATACGAATATTCATTTTTTTAAAGGCGACATAAACTCTCATCACAATTGTATAATTATCGATGCTTGAGTGCTGTACAGGATGTCCCAGAATTAGACCAACGAACTTCAGGTGGTTATAAAGGACAAAACAAGCCAATTTTGCCAATAAACCCATGTCTGCCAATGAGCCATTTTGGCACTAGAGAACCATAACCTAACAAGGGAATCTCGCAAATCCGAAAATTCTGATTTTGATGAAACTTTACACACATGTAAGGGATAAATAGAGGAATTTAGAAATTTACAGTCGCGGCTTAAAAACGATTCTAAGGAGTGAAATCACCTCTCATATGTAGAGCGGCTTTTTGCTTTTCTCGATATATCTCGTGAATTATTCGAGATATCAAAAAATGTTTTATACAAAAGTTTTATGGTAAAAACACCTCTATTTAACTATATTAATAAAATTTTGAAAAAATAATTTTTTGATTCTCTAGTGCCAAAATTGCTCATTTGCGGACACAGGTTTATTGACAAAATTAGCTTGTTTTATTGTCTAACCACCTGAAGCTTGTCGATCTAATTCTAAGACTCCCTATATAAGATATGTAACGTATGTTTTTTAACAAACATATGTATGTTTTTTTTATATTTAGATATTTATATAAGAAATGTGAAAATTCTGACAAACGAGATACAAGAACCGTAGTCTTTAGCTGCTTTATTTGGGGCACGTGCCTCCCTCTGAAATCCGCTTACGTATGTATGTATCGTGCGGTGTGCGCGACTCCGGGCCCTTCTCCACAGAGAATAAATCAACGGAGGAAAACCTGCCGGAAGGTATTAACGTCGCGTCCCGTCGCGTCGCGGAGAAGGGGGGAGAAAGGGGCCTTTCGCATCCAAGAGAGGGTTAAGCCGGCGCCCTTATCGCGTGGTCCCGGGAGGGATCTTCTCGTTCTCTGCCTGATCCTGCCTGACGCGATTCACCAGGATCGCTCCAATCCTGCCAGTTGCATGTGGGACGATGAAGAAGGAGGATGGGGACGACCGACGAATAAAGAGAAGGAGTAGGGGTTGGGGGGGGGGGGGGGGAAGAGAGGGAAGCAGAGGAACGGGGCACAGTTGGCCCTTATCGGAGGTCGCGCATGACAAGACAAGCTAATTGTGTTATCAGTGTGCAACGGATGCTGCCGCGCCTCTCCTCCCGCTCCCACCCCTAAGCTGTCGGCCTTTACACGGCACGCGTGTTTGTTTCCCGAACCGCGCATCCTGCTGCAGCCGCCGACGACAGTTGCAAACGAGCGCGTGACTTCACGCACGTGTGCGAATCACTCGGATAGCATTCTAGGCTTGTTAAGAGTGAATCTTAAGATATCTGTTAAAAGTTTTATTACTTATCTCTATGACCTTGTATTGCGTCAACGCAATCGCGCGCGCGTTAAATTCTATATTTTCTCCAATATTTCTTATATTCGTGCAAATATTTGGAAAATGTTTAAAAAATAGAAATGTTTAAAAAATAGGAATGTTTAAAAAATAGAAACATTTAAAATCTAGATTTACGTAAATTAAAATATAACAGATCTGTCTTGACGTTCTCTTCTACAGGGCTTCTTCACCGTAAAGTAGGTGAGACACTTTCAGGCTTCACCTTTAATGGGTGCTTTCCATTTAGTGATTCAAGTCGACACAAGCATCATTCTATCTTTGTTGTTCACTGGTATTGAAAGAAGATAGAATGATACTTGTGTCACTAAATGGAAAGCACCCAATAAAGTTCCAATTTTTACTAATGATCCATATTTTTCCGGATTTATTAATAAAATTATTACATTGTAAATAAAATCAAAATAAAAAAAAAAAATATTACGAGCCATTTCTTCTGATACAAATTTTAACGAGATGTCGTTGTTTAATCGTCTTTAGCGAATAGGTCTTTAGCACAAAGGAGCATTTAAACTTTTCAGACGAGGAATATGCAAAATCGACTGGCCTGCTACTCCAAGTCTGACGCCGTAGTACTTATCGCGCTCTAGGTAATGCATGTTATCTATTTGTTATACATTCAGTTAACGCAATCGAGTATAATCGGCGCGCGTGGCAATTACAGTAATGCACGTTGTCATTGTTTGAACGATCATTAAAATAATTACGGGTATCGACGCGGTGCGCAGCGATAAGAAAGATCGGCGATCGGCGGATATTATCGTTGCAACTTTATTGCAACTATTTGCCGCGATTGCACAGATAGAAGAACTTTCTCGCTCTTCTCCCCGGGAATAAGGAAAAGCGCGCGCGGGAGGATTCCAGGCGCGGTGTCCGACTTAATTACGGCCGGCCCCTAGCCTAGGGTCCATTCGCTCGCCTCGATATGAATATCGCATTAAGTCGTGAGTTAGAGATAGCTCTAGGCGGAGGGGTGGACCCCCGACGGGAAACTACGAATTTAATAGAATAATAAATGGAGCTGTGTGCGCGCGGGAGAGGCGGAATGGTACGCCTGAGGCATAAATCGATTCGCCAATCGTGATTACATATCTATACAGAGTGGTCCACATGCAAAGTGTTTAAGTAAACTAAAAACCGAAAAACTAAAAATTATTTGTGTTAATGATAGAACTAAAGGAAAAGAGAGAGGGAGGGGAGGGGAAAGGGGGAGAGAAAGAGAGAGAGAGAAAAATAGAGAAAGAAAAATAGAAAAAAAGTAAAGAGAGAGAGAGAGAGAGAGAGAGAGAAAGTTCCAGTTATTATTTTAAAATTTTCCATCAATGCATAAAGTACCAATAATTATTCGGCGATATTAAATAAGAAAAAATTGTAATAGAGAATTGTTAAGTATTCATTAATCTCAAGAAAATTGATATATAAATTTTAATAACTACAAAAATAACAAGTATTTATAAGTACTTATGTAAGTAGTTATAAATACTTGTTACAACTGAAATATTAGAGCAATTATGAGAACAAAGAAATTCTAATAGTTACAGGACAGTATATGATGATTAGTTTTAAGAGTTGTTTTTTATAAATAGAGGAATGAAAAAAATTGTATATTTTTTACATTCTATTCTAGTTATTATAATGTAAGTGCTATTCTAATATTACTAATATTGTTACAGTAGTACAATTGTGAGATTAATTTCTTTAAATATCG